GCCTCGCGCAGTGCAGTTTACATATGAGTCTGTCTCATTGTTAATTTTCCAAATGAAATCGCGTCATCCCAGCCAGGCCGGAGTTCGCCCCCCCCCCCCCGCCCCCCTTCGTCTTTTTTGGGAGAATGTTTTGCGCGCGCGTTCGTTGATTAACAGTCATCTGTTGTCAAGAATCCCGCGCGAGAAATGGGGCGAAGTGCGCGCGCGTTGTCGCGCGCGCGCGTGTGCCGAAATCTTGTTCTAAACCGAAAGACACAACGCTAAAACACACATGGTTTCGCAACTTTTCAGGAAAGACTGCGCCCGGGATCTTGCGAATGCTGGGGAAAGCCGCAGTTTTTTAGGCGTGTAGAAAATATGGGGCGACGCGCGCGCGCGCGTCGTGGCGCGCGCGTGCCGAAATCCGCCAAACATATTTCTGGCTCTTACAAGGATTACAAAAGCGCGTGCCCTGGCAACATGTGACACGCGCGTTGTTTGGCAGCGTCAGTTTTCAAAAGGCTTGCTCCCGCGATCCTGTGGATTCTTGAAAGAGTCATAGGTTTTCCAACATTTTCATCACATTCTGCCAAAGAGGCCTCTTGCATCGCATGTCGAACTCATTCGAGCGCCCTTGCGCGCGTGCTTGGGGTGGGGGGGTTGGGGGCGTGATCCGCGTCGAACAGTGCCGCGCGGGCCACTCGCGCGCGCCTGCGGCGCGCGCATGTCGGACTTCGTCAAGAACCTGCATCGCCGACGCGAGGACACGGTCATTGGTATCGGCGGGCGTGATCAACATCGGCGCCGTCATTGGCCTTGCCATCGTCATTGCCACCGTCGTCACCATCGTCGCCACTTTCGTAATCGTGTCTACAGTTTTCGGCGTCGCAATGATAATTACCGCGCTTGCTCAAGTTGCCGACTCGCACGCGTGGCCGCGGCCGCGTCGGTCGCGCGAAACTAGCTGGCTGCGGTGCGCGCGAGCATGTGCGGGCTAGCGCGGCCGCAGAGATGCACCAGCCAGAGCCGAGCACTCATCGACCCCCTTCGTCATTGACAAGTAATGCGGTGCGCGCGCGGTCGTTCATTTCAAATCAGCAATGTCTAAGGATCCTTTGCAACATGTAGGACAATGTCCACGCGCGCGTGGCGTCGAATGCGCATGCGGCAATCCTTGAACCACCCGAGGCTGTGTAGGGTTTTCAAGATCGACAATCCAGAAACATGCGGCGTTCAGTAGTTTTGCAACATGGCTTCTCAGCACAAGTCTTCTAGAAACCATCGGTTTTCATTGTTTCATGAATTGTGACCAAGCGGACTTTTCGCGCGCGCGTGTCGGAGCCAGTCGAACGCCTCCTTTTCCGCGCTTCCTTGGGGGTGGGGGAACGATCCGAGTCAAATGCTACCATGCAGGCCACTCGCTCCCGTCGGCCGCGCGCGCATGTCGAAATCCTTCCAAAGCCTTCATCGCCGACTCGTGGGCGCCATCATCGTCATCGGCGTGATCAGCATCGGCGCCGTCATTGACGTTGCCGCCGTCATCGTCATCATCGTCACCAGTATCGTTACTATCACCATCGTCTCTGCCGTTGTCGACGTCTCCATGATGCAACGCCCGCCCGAGTCACCGATTCACAGTGACGCGCCTGCGCGTCAGCGCGGCTTGCGAGACGCGCTTGGGAGTGCATGGTGGTCAGCGCCACCGCGACCGCGTTGGTCGCGCCATACTAACTGTCCGGTTTGCGCGCGGGCCTGCAAACCAATTTGCGCGTGGCTGGTGGGGATGCTTGCGCGAGTAGTGGAGTTGACGACTCATTGCGAACGCAAGTTATCCGCACTGCACGTGTTGCGCCATACATATTGTACCACATGAATATGCTAGAATACATGGCTTGGGGCCCATGCTGGCTAACCCATGTATGTGTATGGTTATATACGAGTTGTCTTTAAGCGGGCGGTGGGTATGTGTGTGTCGCATCATCCAGTCGAGGATTTGCCCGCTCCTCAGAAGGAAAGCCTGCATTTCATTTGTTGTCGGTGGACTGTGTCCTCCTCCTCCCTCCTCCTCCTCCTCCAAGCCCCTTTACATCGAGAGGAGATTGCAGGGGGGGGGGCTCCGCGCGCGCGCCGAAGCAGCTTCGGCGGCCGCCGCGCGTGGAGATGAGATCTGCAGTTCAGTGGGAGTGGTGAAGGGATGTCTTTCTTAAGAACCTTGGGGTTTAATCCTATGCACGCGTCGGGAGAACGCCTTCCTGAACTCCTGGGGGGAAACAGGGAACTTCGACCTGGTCCTCTTGGCGGGCACGCAGCAGGTATAACACAACGCATTAGCCCCACGTGTGCAGAGTTCCAGATGTGCAGTCAGATTGTGTATACCCGCGCCCTTCCATCCGTCGCCGTTCAGCAATCATAATTGTGGCTGCGCTATTGCTTTCAGTCCGCAAGTAACCAATCAACACTTACTTCGTGCATGGCCACCCCCGCCAGAAGCCAGTGGTAGAGCAGGTGCAGCACGAGTGAAGTACGGCACGGTCGACATGTGTGGTATGGCATGTTGTTTTCCGCCCCGTCCAAAATCTCGTGCTGAGCATGGCGGATATTTCAGGGCAGTTTCAGTGCTCATTTCGTGGTTGGCTGCAATTCTATGTTCGTTACCAGTACGGTGCACGCCGATTTTTTTTTACAGATCTCAACGATGGGATCGGAGAAGTTCGATCGGACGGAGCATGGTCATCAGTTGACAGTCCAGTGGTTGGCACGCCCAACCGTGAGTTCTATGAATGGCGGAGGACATCGCGTGCGGACGTTGATGGGGGCACGCGAGATGGTGGGTGCGAACACGTTCTGCCATGATATCGAATCTACTTTTTTTTGACTTTCAGGTAAATCGAGACTTGATTGTCATTTTTCCACAAGCGATGTACACAGAGGTTGTTTCATGCCGCGCACATCGTCGGCTAGGGGCCAAGCTACAGGCAGTGCGAGGAGTCGCGCCACGTGATCACGTCCCGGTGGTAGCAGTGATTCAGTATGCTAAGCACGGTGCTGTAGTCGAGTGCCGCGCAGAGAAATCTGGGATTATGCTCGCCTGATGTTTTCATTGCGAGAGGGTCATGGACGTGCCGAGTTCCTGCAGGTCTTCAAGACAAAGTTCGACGGTCTTCAGGCCCAGTGGTTTCGTGATAATGCTAGCCCAGATGAGATCTTCGAGGTGCCGGAGCGATGCCTTCTTGAGGCGGGCCAGTCATGTTTTGCCCAGGCACGCGAACCCCGACCTGAGTATCCAGCTGACTGTAGGCGGAGACGAACTCTTATTCAACAGCGAGTTGAGCGCAGAAGTGGGAAGTTTCAAGCTACGCCCGAGATGGCCTTCCAGGTAGATCGTGAGCTGAAGGAGTTGGCGCGCCAGTTATTTCTGGGCAGGCGCAGGGCTTCCCGCAGGCTTCGCAGTCAGCTCACATCTGAGGCCGTGGATTTATGGCACGGGGGACGCACAGCAGAAGGAATGCGACTGGCTCGACGTGCAGCTCGTGCTCGTTACGGGCCCAAACGAAGAGGCGGCCGACTAGTTCGTTGTGTGCCGCCCAGCCGCGAAACCTGGCTGCAGGTGTGGAGTGAGAGTGGGCCTGAGGGGTGTATGGGGGTGCAGGTGGACTCTTGGGAGGACTGGGGGGCATCGAGGGAGGATGCGGGGACGTACTACGCCGATGTTACGAATGAGGAGGTCCTAGAGACGGTGAAGGAGGATGTTCAGCAGATTCGCAAGTATGCACGGCATGCTTCCAAATGGGAAGCCAGCAGGCGCGGCACCGCTCGAGACTTGGCATCGGTGCATGCGGCCTAACTATCGCGTTCGGGCCCGTGCTGGAGTAGGAGCTGATAAGAAGCTTATTTCACCGCATGGCTTTTGGTTTATGCTTGGGCTGGGACCAGCAAACATGAGGGAATATCAGGAGGTTCCGCTGTATTGGAATAAGTATCGGGGAGCGAATATACCAAAACAACTGGAGGGGGGCCCGAAGGGGGTCCGAGTGGTACGCGCCTTGCCTTTTGCGGGCAAAGCATTCTTCGCAAAAGAACTCAGGATTGCCCCGACGGTGGCCGACCATGGATTCGTCAAGCATCGTCGTCGGGAAAATGCAGTACTAATTACGCTGACTACGGGATGGAGGGCTAGAAAGATGGGAGTTACGTATTGTAACACGTTCAAGGATATGAGTAACGCTTTCGCCCGTTCTACCTGGTCGGAGTTGGGCCAGACTGCTTCTCCAGCGGCGGCTGAGCACGATCAAGGTTTATGTCGACAGAGGTACCGCTCGGCCATCGTTGAGCTAGACGCACAGGAAGGCCCCCTTTATGTGCGACCGCGAGTGGGATGACCCATGGGAGACCCATTTACAGTACAGGGCTTCCTCGGTATTTTTTCAAGAGCAGTATTGCAGTGGAGCTACGCGCTGTTCCGAATCGGCCCCTCTGCCCGAGAGCTCGTCGCATCTTGGGCCGGCCTTGTGGCCGGCTTGACGTTGACGAAGTGCGCAGACGATTTACAGAAGATGATCCAGGCTGACCCTGGGAGTACCCTACGGGGCTTTCTAGATAAACTTAAGGAGGTGGGCGGGTTATTGGATGAGGCTTTAGAACCTTGCGGATATGGGCAAAATCGCAGCAACCAAGACATGTTGTTTCACTTTGCACAAAGCGATTATCAAGCACGCCGCGCACTTCGAGCTAATCGGGATATGCTCCAGGGGACGATATCGGATTGTGTGCGTTATTTGGGGCCGTTTCTGAAGTCCAGGGATACTGCGCATCATGAGGTTACGAGGTGTTGCGAAATGGCACAGAAAGCATTCTATCGGCTGGGGGGAGTATAATCTCTAGCATTATCCTACAAATGGAGGCGCGCGTTGCTGCAGGGCCAGGTGTACAATGCCCTAATTCATGGCCTCGAACCTTTTGTGCTTATTCAAAACGATTCCGCACGTCTCGGTCGGTGTACCGCTGCCCTGTGTCGGATTGCGATGCGGGGCAAGGCCGCGAACGAGCGAGAGGATGGCACGGTCTGTTCTCTCAGCAACCTGCAGGTGATGAGGTACTGGCGCTTCGTGGGCAGCAAAACAGAACTGACTATTCGTCGCCTAAAGCTTTTCCAGTCGTGGGCTGCTCGGCCGAATTGGCATGCTCAGACCTTGTGCGCAGTGGTCGGTACGCTCGCGATAGAGGAGAGGCTTGAGATCGAGCCTCAGCTTCAGGGCGGTGCTCCCACGGCATCGGCTTCCCCGTGGGTGAGTCAGCTATTTCAGGATCTAGAGTATGCGTCTGAGAAGTTGGAGTATTATGCTACTGAGGAGCTCCTGTTGGACCTGAGAATTCTGGCTGACCCCGAGGCCTCCCAGTACTTCGTGAAAATCGATTTCACCGAACTCCGAGCTCGAGAATTTAGTGTGCATGTCCCTCCCCCACGCGTGCGTATGGCTACTACTGCACAGGAGGAGTGCGCGGAGGAGGAGAGCCACAGGGTCGAGGAGGTGGGCAATTATCGGTGCAATATCATAGATGACCAGGGTAAAATGTGCAACGCGATATGTCACGATCGCAAGGCATTGGTGAACCATATGAGGGCACATCATCATGTCCGCAACCTACCTGCAGTATTAACGCCATGTAGCATATGCATACATTGTAGACACAACTTATCAACACAAGTGACAGCAGCACGGTATCTTCCCGGGTCAGTTCTCAGAGGCAATTGTTTTACGAGGGGGCCTACTTCGCTTTCGGCACTTGTGCTCCCAGCCACATATGATTGCCTGGTGTGTGACTGCGAGAGTTCGGACTTGACTAACATCTGCTGCCATCTCTGCTCGCATCTACCGTGGAAGTTACAGCCCTTTCGAGAGCGCCCGCCGCCGCCAGAGACTACCTCCGCGACTGGCGGGCGCAACCGTGGCCGAGCTCTCGATGCCGTCGTGGTTCAACCCAGCGCAGGAGCGCCGACCAGACGCCGAGGGCGAGAAGAACCCCAAGAGCGCGAAGGGCAGCGGCGGCGGAGGCAGCAAGGGCAGCAAGGGCGAGAACCGCCACGGCAAGCTGCTCCTGCTCGTGGCGAGGCTCTTGCTGGCGACCGCGCGTGGCATGGCGGACCTGGCGGCAGCAGTATTCATCACGTGCGAAATGCAGCTCGTGGGTTTCCCGTCGGCGCTTCTGGCAGCGGGCAAAACGTGCGACGTGAAAGGCAGGGGGCTCGCCGAGAAATCCAAGTCGGGCGAGAATATCGACCGCCGCGCCCGCGGACCGCCACGCCTGCACATATTCGCGGCGGGCATCCACTACGCGGCGACGAGGCAGTGGGCCGAGGGCGCGACAGCAGAGAAGGAGAAGCAGATGAAGACGGACGCGGCCGCGTTCTGGGATAACACCGCGGCGAAGGCCCCCATGGCCCAGATCGGCCGCTCCGTGAAGTATGTGAGGCTCAAAGTCCCGAAGAAGAGCGAGTCCGACCAGCGCTGCCTTGTCATGATGCATTTCGACACTGCCGACCCGATCGGCACGCAGGGTCAGAATCTGTTCCAACCGGTGATCGAGATCGGGGGGGGGGGGGGGAGGCTGTGCGGGTCGGCGCCGAGGGGCCCATGCGGGAGAGAGACAGAGAGAGAGAGAGAGAGAGATTGCTTCAGTCGTGAACGGCAGGTGATGTGGCAAAGTAGTGAGAGGCTGGCTTCATTAGTGCAGAGAGGTTTAGTGGACCCAGCGGTAGCAACACGAGCGATGTCAGGGGGGCGAACTATGCAGTCATATGTGCAACCAGAGCTCCCCAGCATCCCGACTGTAGTGTTGCCTCGAAGAGGCTCTGGCCGTGGGAGGGGGAGGGCGGCGGGTCGTGGGCGTGGTGGTGGTGGGGGGGGGGGGAGGCACCGACCAGCGGGGGCCAGCAGCAGGGACAACGATCTCCGCTTGGCTGACTCCTGCGCCTTTCGGGTCGGCCCTCGCTCGGGGTTGCGTGCCTCGGAGGTGCCGACGGGCCAGCGCCTCAGCTGAGGATCGTGAGCTGCAGGTTTTTTCAAGTCATAATCTTCGTGGGGGTCGAAGCTACCCACTCCCAGAATCCTGCGTGCAGCTGTTTCATCGTTCAGACAGTTGTGGATTCCATGGGCTCGTCTCGTCTCGTCTCGTCTCGTCTCGTCTCGTCTCGTCTCGTCTCGTCTCGTCTCGTCTCGTCTCGTCTCGTCTCGTCTCGTCTCGTCTCGTCTCCTCCTCCTCCTCTTCCCTCGTCTTTGGCAATTTCGAGCGTGGTGGAGTCACTTTCCCTTCAGTTTGGGAGCTTGCCCATCTCCAGTGCACGGTGCAAGGGCAAACAAGTAGTGGGGCGAATCCAAGGTAACAGCGGCCTGCCATAGGCCAAGCCAAGGGCCCAAGCCAGGGGTCCCAGGCAAGGGGGATCCAGGCGGTGGACGCGCGCGCTGTTGACGTGGGTGCCAGCGGGCATGCCGACCGACCTCCACAATCTTTGGATGCTGGAGCAGGTGCTCTGGGGGAGCCCGTCGGGTTCGGTCAGGCGGGGCCCCCAGGAGTCAGATGCTTGTGTTGTGGACCTTCCCGTCAGGTCTGGCTCGATCTCGACTTGGGTCGACGCACGTTCCACGCGGCCGCTGCGCACGAGTGGAGAGCGCGGGTCTCCAGGAAGGTCCCCAGAACGAGCTGAGCCTCTAACAGGAGGGACCGGACCTCCTCCCCCCTCTTCGGGTGTTGCTAGAAGTGCCCTTGGCCCAAGGTGCCCCCAGGATTCTCGGGGTGGCCCAGGCGGCTTCCAGAGCACCCCCCACCAGGCCCAGAGGGCCCCAGGGGCTTCACGCTTGAGCGACAAGCTGGGGGCACCTCGGGCCAGGGGCACCTCTGGCGACGCTCGACTTCTCCTCCCCGCTCGATGCCAGCGGCTCTGTGGTCGCCGCTGGCATCGAGCGGCGCGCGCGCGCGCGCCCGTCGCCCCCTGCGAAAAAGAGAGAGAGGGAGAGAGAGAGAGAGAGAGAGAGCTGCGCGTGGGAGCCCCCCCGCCGGCGCGCTCCGCGCGCCGCGCCCGCCGTGCCGTAGCGCAGCTGGCCTCGTCGTGGAGCCTGGGCGGCTCTCCCCGCCCGCCCGCCCCCGCCCAGCCGGCGCCGGCCCGGGCCTCTCGCTGGAGGCGCGCGCGCGCGACTCATGAGGGGCCACCTGCGAGCCCGACCCCTATACCCCCCACGAATTCTGAGGGGGAGGGGTGGGGTTCGCTTCGCTCGGGGGCTCCCGAGCGAAGCGAGCCCCGCCCTCGCCCTCAGAAGTCGTGGGGGGTATGGGGGTCGGGCTCGCAGGTGGCCCCGTGCGACTCTGCGGCGGCCTTGCCGGCGGCCTACGGCGGCCTCTGTGCGGCGGCCTCCTCGCCTGCTTCTCGGCGGCCTACCGGCGGCCCGTCGGCGGCCTCTCGGGGGGCCGCCGCTGGGAGCCCGCGGGCCGCGCCGGCGGCGCCATCGCCGCCGCTGCCGCAGGCGCCGTCGTCGCCCTTTTGTGGCCTCCTCCTCCTCCTCCTCCTCCTCCTCTTCGCCCTCCTCCTCCTCCTCCTCCTCTTCGTCCTCCTCCTCCTCCTCCTCCTCCTCCTCTTCGTCCTCCTCCTCTTCGTCCTCCTTCTCCTCTTTCTCCTCCTGTGGAGGCACCTGCCCGACGTGGGCCTACCTACGGCGGCCTCCGCCTCCGCATCGCCATGGCCGGATTCCCCTCGGCGTCTGGTCAAGGCGCGCCCCTGGAGAGGCGCGGGGTTCGGTTCGTCGGCTCCGGCTGGCGGCTCAAGGGAACGGCGCTGCCGCCTCCGTCCGCGTCAGCGTCGCCGTGTCGTCGTGGCCGTTTTCGCTGCCGTCGTCGCCGCCGTCGTTGTCGTTGAACACCCACTTCTATCGTTGAACACGCACTTCTAACGATACTCGTTGTTGAATGTGGAAACGGTTCCAGGCGCTTCGCCTCGATGCTGGCAGCATTTGTCTTTTTTTGTTTTGTTCTTTGTTTTTTTTACCGAGGCTCCCGCTCGAGCGCAGGCTTGTCTTCCAATCCTGAACGTTGAAGGCCCGATTGCGACGACAACGGCTCCCGCTTGATTGATCTTCATACTTTGCTCCGAGACCCCCTGGCCAGAAAGACCCTCGAAATGAGGAACGGAGCTCTCGCCAGAGATTTTTACTTGCAACTCAGTCAAGTTAGCGAAGCGCAACCGCGACGACAACGGCTCCCAATATACTCCGAGACGCCATGGCCAGAGAGACCCCCCAAACTCAGGAATGGCGCTCTCGCTCGAGACTTTACCGCATGTCACTTGGGTTTGGCGACGGCCCAGCTACGACGACAACTGCTCCCGCTCGATACTTTCTCCCAGACGCCCTGCTCAAGCCCTCCAAACTCGGAACTGACGCTCTCGCCCGAGAGTTCTTCGCACGTCAGTTAAGTTGCCGAAGGCCCAACTACGGCAACAACGGCTCCTGCTCGACACTTCCTTGTGAGTTATTCGTCTGCGCCCTGGTCACATGTATTCTCGCACTCAGGGCCCGTACTCTCTCCCGAGACTTCTTTGCACGTCATCTAAGTTGGTGAAAGCCCAGCGACGACGACAATGGCTCCCGCTCGATAGTTCCTCACAGTTTACTCTGAGAGGCCTTGCAGGCCCCCGAACACAGGAACGGCGCTCTCTCCCGAGACTTCCTCGAAGTGCACTCAAGGTGTTGAGTTGCTCTTGGGCGCGTGAGCTCACATAACGGCCATGGCGGCGCGGTGCACATTCAGGTTGCTCTGCTGAATGATTGTCTCAGGAGCTGGTATGAATAAGATGCCAGCCAAAAATGGGGGTTGGTTGATCGACTTAGCGAAGCAAATGGAGGTCAAATCAGCTTCTGAGATCACAAGTGCGCAAGATGGTCGTTGTCGTTGTCATCGTCTTCGGCATCATCTTCGGCATCGTCGTCGGCCTCGGCGTTCGCGTCGCCGTTGCCGTCGCCGTCGCCTTTCGCCGTCGCCTTTCGCCGCCGCCTCCGTCGTCGTCGTCGCCGTCGTGGATGTTGTCGTCATTCCAATGCTGCCCGCAGCGGTGTGCACTCAAGCCTCGACGGACTGCTCCTGACCCCCCAGGCGTGCCATCATGCCTGGAGGCAGCGTCGACCGATAGTTATGTCTTCTCCTACCTCCTCTGCGGTCGCTCGCAAAGTGGAGTGGTTCGGCACCAGGAGCCATGCGCCTCGTCAGGTCACGCTGACAATCGCCGGCAACGACGATTCCCTGACTCTTCCCGTCGAGGTCTCGACCAAGGTGGGCGAGGTGAAGGAGCTGCTCGCGCAGAGGCTCGGTGTTGAGCCCGAGAAGCTCCAGTTCGTCCTCAAGACCTGCAACACTCACAGGAAGCTGCTTGACACCGAGGAGATGGCCCGCAGTGTTATCGTGAGAGGCATTCGGCAGTGGAAGCGGGAGAAGGCCAGATACCCCCACCCGCATTGCATCATCGGAGCCGGGCACAGCGGACTCAGACAGGCGCTGAGCTTCTACAAGGAGGGCATCGAGGACTACGTCATCATCGACCGGCACGAGGCAGTCGGCGGGACCGCCTGGCTCCAGAATGCCAACACTTCCTCGAAGCTGCAGTCGGAGCTGGGGGTATACCACCTCCAGTACGACTCGGCATGGGAGTGCCCCAGGGAAACTATGGGCACGTGGCCTTCCCGCGATGAGCTCCGAGCACACTTTCTGGAGGTATCGCGAGAGTTTGGCATCTTGGAGCACTGCCAGCTGGGTACCGAGGTCAACGATGTGAAATGCGTAGTTGACGACAAGCAGCTGCCTTTCTACAGACCAGAGAAACAGCATTATGAAGTGACCACAGTTCGATGCGACGGCGGTGCACGAGACGAGGTGGAGACCGTTTTCTCAACAATCTCCTGCTACCCCGGGGTCTTGTCACGGCCTAATCGAGTGGAGTTCAAGGGGGAGGAGGAGTTCGACGGGCCAATCGGCTATGGCATGTCCGACGAGTTTGATTACCGCTGTGTTGAGGGCAAGGTGCCAGCCATAATCGGATGTGGGGCCTTCGCCATAGAGAATGTCCGGACGTGCCTCGAGCACAGTGCCGCCAAGGTGCTGGTCGTTTGCAGGAGGAAGAACCTCGCTATGCCACGGATCGTGTCGTGGTGGATTAATCAAAGCGGCTATCCTATTTCTGGTGCGGCGCTCCTGGACGCGATGAAGCCCATGTACGATCTCATTCCAGACGATCCCTGGGAATACTACGGGGTCGTAGCAAACAGGGATCGCACCGTGGCCACCATCCGGCAGCAGTCCAGGTTTGGCATCGGCGACGTCTTCTTCCTCGCGAGATACTATGCGCAGAACAAGCAACGTGTGAGCACAGTCTGTCGGAGGCCCGCGCCGCGGCTCCCTGGAGCGGCGCTCGGCCCCCCCCCTCCCCTTGGCCCCTTGCCCGGCGCGCGGAGCGCTCTGGGCCGGGGGGCGGCGCTCGAGGCGCCGCCCGGGAGCGGGAGCGGGGGGGGGAGGGGAGGGGTGCCCAGCGCCGGTGCGAGACATCGGCACGGGCCATCGACATCGGCGCCGAGCCCAGGGGGGAAGGGAGGAGGGGCGGGCCTGCTCCGAGGGCTGGGGAAGTCCCCCAGCCCTTCGGACCAGTTTTTGAAAGCGTTCCCCGGAGACGCAGAAGACGTCTCAGAAGGCGCGAGGGAGGGCTTTGAGAAGCCCCGCCGCCTTCGGAGCAGGCTTTCTCCTTCTCACTTCCCCCCCCCTCGCCCGCCGCCGACGAAAGTTCTGCTTTTATGATAGGTCGGCGCCTCGTTGACGAGGCGGTGGCCCCAGCTTGGGCGTTAGAGGTCGCACGCCGCCGGTGGCCCAGACTCTGCCAGCATCGAAGGATCTGTGCCACCAGAGCGCCTTCCGATGGCTTCCGCTGGTCTTCCGCCCTCTTCCGCCGAGCAAGAGGGGCCTCCCGCCGCCTTTCGGCCTTCAGTCATCGCGACGTTCAGCCCGCTGTACGCAGTTTCTTGTTCTTCTGGCTATGGCAAGGTCGAGGTCGTGCAAGGCGCCATCAGGAGGATGAAGCCGGACGGCCTGCTTCTGGAGGACGGCCGCCGGGTGCAGGCGGATGCCGTCATCAAGACGCTGGGCTTCCGGCCCGACAACAGGTCCCCATCGTCGTCGTCGTCGTCGTCGTCGTCGTTTTCATTCGTCGTTGTCTTCGTCTTCGTCTTCGCCGTCGTCGTCGTCGTGGTCGTCGTCGTCGTCGTCGTGGTCGTCGTCGTCGTCGCCGTCGCCGTCGCCGTCGCTGTCGCCGTCGCTCCTCCTCCCTCCTCCCTCCCTCCTCCTCCCAGCTCCTCCCCCTTCTCCCTCCTTCCCCATCCTGCTCCTTCTCCCCGCCCCTCCCTTCTCTTTCCACCCTTGCCTTCCTCCCTCCCCTCTCCCTCCTCCATTCCTTCTCCCTGCCTACCTCCTCGCTTCCTCCTCGGTCCTTCCTGCTCCTCCTCCCCCGCCCCCCTGCCGCGTTCCCGCGCGCGTGGGAGCACGCGCGCGCGGGAGCACGCGCGCGCGGGGTTGGGGGGAGCAGGAAGCGAAGGAGGAGGAGGAGGAGGTGGAGGAGGAGGAGGAGGAGGTCCAGGGCGGCACAGGCTTTCCCCCAGGTGGCCCCTCAGTAGAAGGGGTGGACAATAGGACAGTCCCGCCCTGCCAGGCCAATGGATCTCGAAATCGCCGCTCACTTCGCGGGCTCCGCCGTGAAGTCTCGCGTGTCCGTTGGGGAGGACAGGGTGAAGCTTGGTGTGCGGAGGGTGTGGGGAGAGCGATGGTCGCATCAGCAGCTCGTCGCACGGTTCGGACCCACTCTGGAGGATGTGGATTCCCAGGGCCAGAGGATGGAGCGAAACACAATTTAGACGCGTGGGACATGGGCTCCAGACCACTCAAAACTGGAGTAATCGTTTCTGTGTTTGTCTTGTGACCCTCCCAGAGAGGGCGCCATCGCTGCCGCCGCTTATTGTCACTGGCACTTGCTGCACTGAAAAAAAGAAACAGCGGAGGCGGATGAGGAGGAGGAGGACGAAGAGGAGGAAGGAGGAGGAGGAGGAGGAGGAGCAGGAGGGGGATGTGGATGGGGAGGGGAGGCGGATGAGGTGGACGAAGAGTAATATTAGGAAGTGGGGGAGTAGGATGATGATGATGATGAGGAGGATGAGGAGGGGGGGGGAGGATGATGAGTGGGAGGATGAATGATGTTGCTATCTTATAGCTGCTCTGCAAGTTTTGGGTCTTTCTGGCCCTCTGGGAGTTACTCCTGCGGCACCCAACGACCTCTGGGGGTCTCCAGTGGACGGACGACGATGAGGAGGAGGACGACGACGATTATGATGATGCCGGTGATTATGATTCTGATGATGACGCCGATGATGCTGCTGTCGCTGATGATGTCGACGACGATGATGATATTGCTGGAGCAGGTGATGATGATGATGATGATGATGATGATGATGATGGTGCTGATGATGATGATGATGATGATGCTGCTGCTGCTGCTGCTGCTGATGATAGCCGGTACCTGTCAGCGTGCATCTCATCAGCTGGTAGTTGCGGCACTCAAAAAGTGTATCGCATGTTGGGAGGCCCCCGCATGTTCATGCCAAACCACATAGCCGCGTTCTCCATTACCAGTCTGTCTCTTGGCTGCCGCGCACCCGGCAGGTCGTGGCAGGCTTTGCCCCGGTCGGGCATGTTCTGCCGCAGACCTTGCGGACAGAAAAAATGATGTTGATACTGATGGTGATGATGATGACGACGCCGATGATGATGCTGATGATGCTGATGATGAAGATTGTGATGAAGGTGATGGTGATGCTGATGATGAGGGTGCTGACGATGCTGGCGATGCTGACGATGATGATGAAACTGATGAAGATGACGATGGTGATGCTGTTGCTGATGATGGTGACAATTATGATGATGATATACTCCCTAACGATCACATGGCGTTTGCGAAAGAGCCGTGCAGCGTGTGCTATCTGCCTGGCCCGCGTGTTTGGGCGAAACGCCATGTTCGCAGTGCTATCTGTCTGGCCCGCTTCCAACTTGTCTTAGAATGTGTGCCCCCCCTCGGGGCGTGTGCTATCTGCCTGGTGCGCCCGTGGGAAAGGGGAGCCTGCCCACCCCGCTCTCCCCTACCTCATCTGGCCACGCCCCCCTGGCCTCGCTGCCCCCCCCGGCCACCCCCGGGACAGTGTGCTATCTGCCTGGTGCGCCCGTGGGTAGGGGAGGGCTTCTTAGGAGGAGGAGGTGGAGGAGGAGGAGGACGGTGATGTTCACGAGGAGCACGAGAGCAGCATGAGGAGGACGAGGATACTTCGAGCGGCGGCGCCGCGGTTGTGAGGATGTCTCGAGCGGCGGCGCCGCAGTTGCGAGGATGTGTCGAGCGGCGGCGCCGCGGTCGTGAGGATGTCTCGAGCGGCGGCGCCGCGGTTGCGTGGATGCCCCGAGCGGCGGCGCCGCGGTTGCGAGGATGCCCCGAGCGGCGGCGCCATCCCGCCCCCCCGCCTCCCCCCCCCCAGGGCAGTGTGCTATCTGCCTGGTGCGCGCCCCTGGGGAGGCCGCGGCGCCGCGGTTGCGAGGATGCCCCGAGCGGCGGCGCCGCGGTTGCGAGGATGTGTCGAACGGCGGCGCCGCGGTTGTGGGGATGTCTCGAGCGGCGGCGCCGCGGTTGCGAGGATGTATCGAGCGGCGGCGCCGCGGCTGCGAGGATGTCTCGAGCGGCGGCGCCGCGATTGTGAGGATGTCTCGAGCGGCGGCGCCGCGGTCGTGAGGATGTCTCGAGCGGCGGCGCCGCGGTTGCGTGGATGCCCCGAGCGGCGGCGCCGCGTTTGCGAGGATGCCCCGAGCGGCGGCGCCATCCCGCCCCCCCGCCTTCCCCCCCCAGGGCAGTGTGCTATCTGCCTGGTGCGCGCCCCTGGGGAGGCCGCGGCGCCGTGGTCGTGGGGATGTCTCGAGCGGCGGCGCCGCGGTTGCGAGGATGTGTCGAATGGCGGCGCCGCGGTTGTGGGCGCCTCTCCTGGGCCCAAGGGGGCCCAGGAGGGCCCAGGCGTGTGCTATCTGTCTGGCCCGCTCCCCTCCTCCTCCTCCTCCTCCTCCACCTCCTCCTCCTCTTCCTCCTCCTCTTTCTCCTCTCTCTCCCCCTCCTCCTCATCCTCCTCCTCATCGCCTTCATCCACGCCGGTTGTGAGGATGTCCCGAGCGGCGGCGCCGCGGTTGCGAGGATGCCCCGAGCGGCGGCGCCGCGGTTGCGAGGATGTCCCGAGCGGCGGCTCCGCGATTGCGAAGATGTTTCGAGCGGCGGCGCCGCGGTTGCGAGGATGCATCGAGCGGCGGCGCCGCGGCTGCGAGGATGTCTCGAGCGGCGGCGCCGCGATTGTGAGGATGTCTCGAGCGGCGGCGCCGCGGTTGCGAGGATGTCTCGAGCGGCGGCGCCATGCCTTCCCCCCGCCTTGCCTCCTCTTGAGCGCGTGCCATCTGAAGTTTCCTCTCTGTGCTGTCCCTCTGGACTGTCCTCGGGTGAGGACACGCGCTCTATCTGATATGCACAGGTTCGGGGGTCTGGGGGTCATGCGGTGCCATGTGTTCTGGCTGCTTCTGCGCTCCATCTGATCGTTAGGGAGTATACTGCTGCTGGTGCTGAGGATGCTTGTTCTGATGATGCTGGTGATGACGATGCTGGTAATGACGATGACGCTGATGACGCTGATGATGGCGATGGTGATGATGATGCTGCTGACGATGATGACGATACTGGCGATGATGATGGTGGCGATGCCGATGCTGCTGATGCTGATAATGCTGGTGATGATGACGGTGCTGATGATGCTGATGATGCCGATGATGGTACTGGTGCTAATTTTGATGATGCTGCTGATAATGACGATGACAACGCCGCCGCCGACGATGATGTTAATGATGCGGATGATGATGATGATGATGATGATGATGATGATGATGATGATGATGATGATGATGATGATGATGATGCTGATGATGATGATGCTGATGATGATGATGATGATGCTGATGATGATGATGATGATGATGATGATGATGGCGATGATGATGATGATGCTGCTGATGATGATGATGATTCTGATGATAATGATGATCATATGATTATGCTGCTCATGATGATGATCATACTGCTGCTGCTGATGGTGCTGATCTTGATGATGATTGCGATGATGATGACGATGATGGCGATGATTATGATTGTGATTATGATGCTGGTGATAATGCTGACGGTGATGGTGATGGTGGTAATGATGCTGCTGATGACGATCGCGGTGATGACGATGATGAGGATGATGCTGATTAGGGATATTACGAACGATGATGCCGATGCTGACGAGGCTGATGCTGCTGCTGCTGGTGCTGATGAGGAGGGTGCTGGTGATGATCATGATGATGACGATGAGGAGGACGGGGTGGCTGGGGCACAGCGGGAATAGGTGAAGTGCGCAGACTCCGCCGCCCTTGCAGGATAGACAAGATGTTCGGCATCAAAGAGATGGTCGGCTTTTTCGTCAATGGCGACTGGCGGCGGTGGGTGTGCACAGAGTTCAACGGCGTGGACGCGGGGAAATTCGGCGGCACCTCGTTCTCGCCTGGAGTGATCCAGAATGTGGAGCTGATGAGCTGGTTCATCAACTACCCGAAGGACTTGGAGCCCGTCTTCGACGCACAGATGCTGCCCAGGAGGAAGGCCGACCACGACGGCACGCCGGCGTACTGCTGGGACCCTCGCCAGGCGCTCCTCCTCCTCCTCCTCCTCCTCCTCCTGCTCCCGCTTCTCCGTGCTCCTTCTCCTGCTCCTGCTCCTGCTCCTCCTCCTCCTCCTCCTCCTCCTCCTCTTCCTTCTCCTCCTCCTCCTCCTCCTCCTCCTCTTCCTGCTCCGCCAGGGGCAGATGATCTCCATGATGCTCTCAGGAGGCATCATTCCAGGCATCGCGCCCATCGCGGCGGGGTACGGGCCCCTGAACCAGCGCAAGCAGCTCGGGGCCCACCCGCTGGAACACTTCGTCGACGAGTGCGCGGGCGAGTGGAGGGCCTACTGCGACATGTTCAGGGCGCAAGGGGACGATCGGCCCCCGCCGCCGTACCCGTACACGTACGAGTCCGTGCGCAAGCTCCAGCGCGAGGCCGAAGAGGCGGGAGAGGCCGACAGACTGCGGCAGCTCGGGGACCAGACGCGGCGCGCTGGCAGCGGCGGCGGCGGCTAGCGGGCGGTGCCCTCTCCTCGTGGCCTCCGCGAGGCCGGGAGGTCTTGCTCAAGGGAATCGCCCTCGGCGCGCATGAGGCGGCGGCGGCTGGCGGGCGGGCGGGTGCCCTCTGGTTACGGCGCTTGGCGAGGCCGAGATGTTGCAGCAGCTCTGGGGGCCGTACCCTGACGAACATGGGTATGGGTGTGTGTTGCTGGTTCGTCCTGCCCAGCGTGCCTGTCGAGCTGGCCGGCCTCCGGCGCTGCGCGCGGGCGCGCCGCCCCGCAGCGCGAGGCCCTGCGGGCCGCCGGTGCACGACTCCCTCGGGACGTCCAGTGCGCGACGACGACGACGGCGACGACGACGGCGACGACGAGGACGGCGACGACGACGGCGACGGCGCTCGGCGCGGCCGAGACGGCTCGCCTGGAGGCCCGCTGCCTGCCCGATCGGGCGGCGGCGGCGGCGGCCCGCAGCGGCGGCGGGCGGGCGGGGCCCTTCGCTCGGCAGGCTCGGCGGCCTCTCGGCAGTTGCGGCGGCCTTGGCGGGGGGGCGGGGCGTGGCCGCGGCGCGCCGGCTCGCCGATGGCGGGCGAGCGTGGAGGGAGGGAGGGGCGGTGGTGGTGATGCTGCTGAGGCTGCTGCTGCCGATGGTGGTGATGGTGGTGGTGATGGTTGTGGTGATGGTGGTGGTGGTGATGGTGATGGTGATGGTGATGGTGATGGTGATGGTGATGGTGATGATGATGATGATGATGATGATGATGATGATGATGCTGATGATGATGATGATGATGATGATGATGATGATGATGATGATGATGATGATGATGATGATGATGATGATGATGATGATGATGATGATGATGATGATGATGATGATGATGATGATGATGATGATGATGATGATGATGATGATGATGATGATGATGATGATGATGATGATGATGATAATGATGATGATGATGATGATGAGGAGGATGAGGAGGAGGAGGAGGAGGATTAGGATGAGGATGAGGATGATGCTGATGATGATGAGGAGGATGATGATGAAGAGGAGGATGATGATGAGGAGGATAATTATGATGGCCGTTGTGATAGTGATGATGACCATGGGTGTGGAGGGAGTGATGGTGATCGTGATTGTGATTGTGATGATGGTGATGGTGGTGGAGGATGCTGATGCTGATGATGGTGGACGGGGAGGAGGTGGTTTTGGCGATGATTGTGGTGGTGCGGTGGTGGCGGTGATGATAGTGAGGACGAGGAGGAGGATGTTCTAGTATTTTTCGGAGGTCTTCGGAGGCCTCTTCTAGACTTGTGCTGCCCAGGTCCTTGAGCTGTCCACGCAGCCCCTCGTCCCCTGCTCTGCGAGCCCTAGGGTAGGGAGAGGGAATAAGCTCACACCAGCACCCGGCCCTCATTTTCTCCCTTCGCCCTGCTGCCCCTTCCTTATCATCCTCCCTCCTCCCCCTCCTCCTGCTCCTCTGCCTCATTCCTCCTCCTCCTCTTCACCCTTCCTTTCCTGCTTTTCTCCTCCTCCTCCCGCCTCTCCTTCGAGGTCCTCCCTCTTCATCCTCGTCAGGCAGGCGGGCCGCTGCTCCTGACCCGCCTGCTCCGCCGTCCGACGACTCTGATGGAGTCGTCTCAACTCGTTTTGCTTTCGACGGACAGCTGTCTCTTCAAGGTGCTTCTGGTGCTCCTTCTTCCTCCTTCCTCCCCCCCGCGTCCAGTGCAGGCACAGATCCTGGTGCATGTCGGCTCCGAGAGCCGCGCGGGGAGGCCACGCCCAGGAAGGTCCCTGGGCTCCGAGCGGATCCTGCAGAGGTTTTTGGTGGTGGTGCCTGCCTGCAGCGGGAATCTCCCTCGAGGTCCCCTGGGTTCCCTTCCCAGAGATCCGACGCTCCAACAAAAATTGGAGCAGGCGGTAATTGGCCGTTTTCGGTCTCTGGGGGCCCTCGCCGGGCCTCGGGAGCGTCAAAAAACGACTCAGGGCTAAAAGCCGGCCCTGGGGAAGTGGGCGGGACCTCCAGGGCGCATCGACAAAATTGGAGCAGCCAGACATGTGGGTTGAGATTCCCTGAGGTTCCTGGAGGCTCCGGGAGACCGTCTTCAGCTCGTCGATCCAGTGGATGCTCTTTGATACCCCCCAATCCTTCCCTCGCCTTGGGCTAAGGGCTCGGGCTTGGCGCATGCTGGTTCTTGACCTCGGCCGTTGGCCAGGAGGGCCAGCGTGCTGATCCTGGGCTCGTGACGGGCCCTTCCCGAGCTGACAGGTGGTGCTGATGAGGGTGCTGCTGCTGACGATGACTTCGATGGTGCTGGTGCTGCAGATGATGATAACGATGGTGGTGGTGGTGGTGGTGCTGCTGCTGCTGCTGATGATGATGATGATGATGATGATGATGACAATGATGCTGTTAATGATGATCATGTTGATGATGCTGATGACGATGAGGAGTAACACGACGACGACCAGGACGATGATGATTATGCTGCTGATGCTGATGATGACGAGGGTGACGATGTTTGTACTGAGGATGGTGCTGCTGATGGTGTGGGTGGTGATGGTGGTGGTGATATGATTATGTTGAGGGTGAGGGTGAGGAACATGATGGTGATGGTGATGGCGGTGATGTTGATGAAGAAGATCAGGACGAGGATGATGATGGTGATGGTGATGGTGTTGTTGGTGGTGATGATGCTGATGATGCTGCTGATAATGATGCTGATGATGCTGATTTTGATGATGATGATGCTGATGATGATGATGATGATGATGATGATGATGATGATGATGATGATGATGATGTGGATGATTCTGATGGTGGTGCTGCTGCTGATGATGATGGTGGTGGTGGTGATGATGATGATGCTGATGATGATGATGATGTTGATGATGATGATGATGATGATGATGATGATGACGATGCTGCTGCTGCTGATGATGATGATGATGATGATGATGACGATGCTGATGATGATGAGGACGAGGAGGAGGACGATGAGGATGAGGACGAGGAGGAGGAGGAGGAGGAGGAAGAGGAGCAGCAGAAACAGCAGGGTGGACGGGAGGAGGATAAGGAGCAGGAGGAGGAGGAGGAAGAGGATAAAGAGGAGGAGGAAGAGGAATCTGATGATGAGGAGTAGGAGGAGGAGTGGGAGGAGGAGGAGGAGGAGGAGGAGGAGGAGGAGGAGGAGGAGGAGGAGAAGGAGGACTAGTGCAAACCAAAGACTCATCAACGAGATTGGAATCCATCCTCTCTCCAAGCTCCCCTTCCATAGGCCCCTACAAGGGTTCATTTCCGCTGAGGGATCCGCCTCGTTGGGAGACAACTGTTTGAAGACCCTGAAGCGTACCAACACACCGTTCTCAAGACTCCAACGCCACGACTCAATATGAGCGTTGCGTCTTGGCGATCCAGAATCGTGCCAGCACACCGTTCCTGTGATTTCAGCACCTCGAATCAAACTAATTGTTGCGCCCCCACAAGCCTGAGTCCTTCCAGAACACCCTTTTCTGGCACGTTGACCACGGGAATCCGTGACACTCTAATACATACATGTTTAAAGCGAATGTGCGCGGCGCTAAGGTGTGAGCTAGATTTGAAAACGAGCCGCCCTCAATCCGTGAAACTCTGGCAAACTTTTAAAACGAATGTGCGCGGCGCCAAGACGAGAGCCACATCTTGAAAACCATCCGCCCTTCATCCGTGAAACTCTTGCAACTTTTTGAACGGAAGTGCGTGGCGCTACGGCGAGAGCCACATTCTGAAAACGACCCGCCTTCCATTTGTGAAACGTTTGTCATCTTTTAAGCTTCAGGGCCATAAAGGATGAGGAGGTCTCAGGCGAAACGCCCGACCCGCCCTTTCGACCGTCCTCGGGATGCGACCTGGAGTAATTAGGTATTGCTAAGGAGAAGGTCTGGAGGAGGAGGAGGAGGAGGAGGAGGAGGAGGAGGGCGAGGATCAGGATGGATGTTGGAGGACTAGGATGGATGGGGGAGGGAGTGATTATACTTAACCCTGAGGAATTGGAAGAAAGAAGATGAGGAAGTGAAGGTATGATGAGGACGAGACGGATCGGATCATGAGGAGTAGCAGGAGGAAGGGGAGGAGGAGCAGGAGGAGGAGGATGAGGATCCAGGAGGAGGAGGGAGTATAAGGAGGAGAAGGAGGAGGGAAGCAGGATGATGTTGCTGCTGATGCTGATGCTGATGCTGATGCTGATGCTGCTGCTGCTGATGATGATGCTGCTGCTGATGATGATGATGATGATGATGATGATGATGATGATGATGATGCTGATGCTGCTGATGATGATGATGATGATGGTGGTGGTGGTGGTGGTGATGCTGATAATGAGAGCAGTGCTGCTATTGAGGATGAGGCGGAATGAGGAGGACGACAAGCAGGGGGAGCGGCGTCCTCTTCTGAACCGCCCCCGCCGCTGTCTGCCCGCACCCTGGCCATGGCCATGGCCATGGCCTTCGCCCTTGCCGTCGCCGCCGCCGCCGCCGCCGCCGCCGTGTCTCTCCGTCGTTTTGCGAGCCGCCGTCCAGGGCATGGCGTGCCCCCGCCTTGCGGCTGCCGTGGCCGCGCTCGGCCAGCTCTGCGCCGTCGCCTCGGCCCACGGCCGCCGCGCGCAGGCTGGCCGCCCACCGCCCGCGGCGTCCCCGCCGCCGCGCGCGCGCGAGGGCCGCGCGCGCGCCACAGCGCCGTGCTGGCGCGCGACAGCGCCCGCGCGGGCACTGCGAAGGCGCGCTCCCTCTGGGGGCCTCCCTGAGGTCTCCCTTCTGAGGCCGCTAGGAGGAGGAGGAGGAGGAGGAGGAGGAGGAGGAGGAGGAGGAGGAGGAGGAGGAGGAGGAGGAGGAGGAGGAGGAGGAGGGGGCCCTCCTGGGGGCGGTCCTCGTTGGGGGCTTGATGACCTCTGCCGTGCCTCGGCTCGCGCTGGACTGCTAAAAACAATCCAGCCGTGCGACGGTCGCGCGAGAAGCAGTCCCTGCTTCTCGCACGAGGC